TTTTACAAAAAGTTCAATAGATACTTTGAAGATGCTAATACAAATTATTTCTGGGCATTACTTTGGATTGACCCTAAAAACTACGGTGAGGTCTTCGCCTGTCCAGTTGTCGAGCTTTTCACCGGGGAAGCAAGGTCGGATTCCAGTTAGAAACTTTCTAGGTTGGTTTCCTCTGGTAATCATGTTGATTGATAATCCCCTCAAACCTTCGCCTATCCACTCTTCTTCTTTTTTCCAGCCTTTTGATCCCGATGGCATTGGCCAGCTCCTGCTCTATTTCGTTTACTCCTCTCAATTTGAAAGAGATCTTCAGAGGAGGGAAAGCAATACGTTATCCGGGATGTATTCTCATCTCAATCTGGCTTTCCTTGCCTCAGCCCTCTTCTTCAGCTCTTGGCCACGCTGCTGGAATGTGGGCTTAAACCCGAGCCCGAAACGGTCTCTCTTCCATTCAATAGTTATGGGTCGTACTTGCCCTTGCAGATCTTTTCCTAGTACTTTGCCAGTTCTTGCTCCTTTTCCTAGGGTTTGTCTCACCGTCATCTTAGTACAATCTGACAGTGCAAGGCGTGGAATTCTGCTTCCTTCGGCCACATAGGTTGCGTTGATAAATTCTAAAGCCCTGAAGGAGCATTCCAAGGCGTCCTCATTGACGTCGACATATAGGGTATCAGACGTCACAGAAGCTATGATTTCTTGTTCATGTCTGATTCTGACCAATCTTCCATCAATTATGAATTTGAACTTCTGATGTAAAGACGAAGGAACTGCCCCTTCCGCGTGGATCCAAGGTCTCCCCAGTAAGCAGTTGTATGTCGGGTGTATGTCCATTATCACGAAGTCAATGTTGTAAATAGAAGGCCCGGTCATCAAGGGTATTTCCATCTTTCCCATTACGTCCTTCTAGGTTCCGTCAAATGCTCTGACGAAGTTATGATAAGCTCTCATGTGTGAGCTATCAATGGGCATTATATACAGTGTAGCCAAGGGTATTACGTTCAGTGCAGACCCGTTATCTATCAAAACCCTCGGCAAGACATGGCTGTGGCAGTGCACCATGATATTTAAAGCCTTGATGGACCCCATTCCTCCTTTCGGGATCTCATCATCAGTGAAGGTGATGTAGTTGTCAGCAGTTATGTATCCCACGATTCGGTCCAATTTATGCATTGAGATATCCTCATGGAAAAATGTCTGGTTAAGTACTTTTAGCAATGTGTTCCGGTGCACTTCTGAGTTGATCAAGAGATCCAAGATTGAGATTTTTTCATGTTGTTTGTGAAGCTGCTCCACTACGCTATATTCACTGTACTTTAGGAACCTCAGGAACTCGCGACCCTAAGCTTCATTCACAGGCTCGTTAATGATCGGTGGAGGTTCTTCGTTGAAAATTTTTGGCACCACCACCGCCTTGGCTTTTACCTTTACTTTATCTACTTCGGCGGATGTCTCGGGCGAGTAACATCTTCCGCTTCTTGTGAAGTGGCCCACCTAACTTACTTCATCTAAGATTGAGTTGTCCTCCTCACTTACCCTTTTAGCAGTCTTTGGCCCCTCCGGTATGGATACACTAGCTACATAACTCCAAGGAACCTGTCGAGTGTCCTTGAACGGGAAGGGGGACGAAGTTCTAATCACAACTTTCGGAGTTGTTGACGATGAGCTCTCATGTCTTGGTCTAACTGTGATGACCACAGACTTTCTAGTCCCTGATATCTTATCAGAGCCATCCGTCATACAGACGTCCATCTCTTGGGGGATCTCCTCCATATTGAAAAATTCCATTTCCCCGTTGTCCATCATCTTCTGAAGTAATCTTCAAAATTCGTGGCAACTCTGGATGTCGTGGTCCTCCCTTTTTTGATATTCGCAATATGTTTCATGTCCCAATGACCTTGGCTCAGAATTACCTTTAATCATTCCCGATGTACACAGCAGTCTGAATACCCAGCTGAGAGGAGATTGGACTTCTGATACATCTCTCTTTTTTGTCATGATCTCCCTTTCATCGATCATATTGACTCCTTGCCCCCCGTGATTGGGCAGGGGGTGAGCGTTTGCAGCTGGTGTTTTGAATTCCAAATCTCCAGTGTTGATGAAGTTTTGTATGACCCTCTTGAAAGCTAAACAATTCTCAATATCATGCCCAACGATCCCTGCATGGTACTCGCAGTGGGTGTTGGCATTATATCAATGAGGGTAAGGTGGCTGCAGTGGGGTCAACTTATAAGGGCGTACTAAATCTGCCTTCAAGAGCTAGGCGTAGATTTTTGAGTACGACACTGGCACTAGTGAAAAGGTTGGTCTCGTATTTTTTCTTCTCGACCCCCTTTTTTCATAGGTGTTTGCCTTCTCCGCCCTAGGCTGTGCGATTTTAACATTGGTCGCGCAGTTCTTGTGGTTAGTGCTCACGTGGTTCACCTCACTTTCCTTCTTCTTAAAATAGGGATTATTTGACCCTTCTCCTCCTTCAATCTTTCCATTCCTAATGGAATTCTCGATTAGCTCGCCGAAAATGACAGATCGAAAAAGTTCTTGGTAGCATTTCCTAACAGATGCCCCAGATACGAAGCTTTCAGGGTATTCACGAAAATAAGTGTAGCCTCTTTTTCCAACAATGGGGGTTGCACTTGCGATGCCACATCACGCCACCTTTGGGCGTATTGCCTAAATGTTTCGCTGTGTCACTTATCCATATTTTGCAGAGTCCACATGTCGGGTACTAGGTCAGTGACGTGATGATACTGCTCCAAAAATGCTCAGGCCAAATCCCTCTATGATTTGATGTGGGACTTAGTTAACTACTTGTATCATTTGGTCGCTGATCCAGTCAAACTGTCCTGGAAGTAATGTATCAGAAGCTTCTCATTCTCAGAATAGCCCGCCATTCTCCTGTAGAACATGGTGAGGTGAGTAGATGTGCAAGTGGTCACGTCGTATTTTTTGAAATCTAGTGCTTTGAACTTCGGGGGAAGTATGAAATCAGTAACCAAACTTAGCTCCCTTGCATCCATTCCGTAAAAAGGCTCCACTTCTACTGACCTCACCCTCTCCTCCAGACTTTTCAACTGCTTGGTTATCTCCCTATTAGACTTTCCCTTTTCTGCTATCTCATGAAAGTCAGGTGGCAGCTCATCCACGCCTGATTCGACAGGCCTTACCCTAGCAGCAGATGGGCAATTCATTTTGAATGCATGCTCGGTGTGGTGTTGTTGATTAGCCACGTAGGATCCGGGGTGAGTTTCTTGTAGAGCTAGCGATCTAACAAAAATGTGCACTGGTGTGAAACCGGGAGGATGCGAGGGGTCTGATGTAAATCCCGGTGAGTGCTGGGGGTCGGGTGTAAACCCAGTAGGATGCGACGATCCTGGTCCAAAACCTGAGGGATGTGAGGGCTCTTGTTCGGATGACATTGGCTGGTCAACCACGGTCTTTCCAGCCGTATAATGCTTATTGAATATGTCTTCGATCTTTTGCAGTAAACCAAGTTGTGAGTTTTCCATTTCCGCTTCCATTTTACTTAGTATTTCCCTCATTTCCTCTTGTGCTTCTCTTTGGTCTTGTTCAATTCAGGATACTCTTTCTTCCATTTTATTGGTTGACTTACGAGTACCGTATGGGTGTGGGGTGTATGCCATGATCACTATAAATGATCGGAAATTGTGTTTTATTATTTGGTGAATTATTTAAATGAATGAATTGTTTTAATGAAAGCACTAAGATTTAAACAATATATAAAAACATGAAAATGCAAATGCAGCCGATATTGATTGCAAAATAACTTATTTCATACAAAAAGTTCTCAACAAAACACAATGCCTAAGCACTTAGGAAAAGAGAGTACATCAACAAGGAACTAAATATAGAATCTAACCCTATCACCTAATTTCTTGCGCTATATCATCAACTTTAAGATGCACCGCTCTTTCTCTGATTTCGGGATCACGAAAACTCTCAGGGCTGCTGCTTATTCAGACAACTCGTAGACTTGACGAGCAACACCGCTGGCCTGATCCATTGCCTTCTTCATTACTTCATGCTACCTCAGAATGGTGTCCTTAGCCTACCCTAGCGTAATTCCCAGTTATGGACTAGTTAGTGGTCGGCACTTCTCTAGCTTCTGGATTCGCTGATGGCATCTCTGTACTGTGACTTCTAACTCAGCAATCTTGGCTTTTAAGGCTTCGTTTTCCTCCCTGGCCATTTCTTGCGCGGATGAGTAGATCAACTCTCCTCCCTCCAACTCTGTTATCATCTTCTTCAATGTCTCATTCTCCCTTTGAAGAAGGAACCCATTATTGTTGTAAGGGTTCTGAAAAGTATCATCTAAGCTAATCAGCTGTGACTCGAGCTGCTCAATCTGTGCTCGCCTTTGTGCCAACTCCTGATTAGCCTCATCCCTTTGTTCTCTCAGTCTCTGACCGTTTTGCATGGCTCATTTCTTTTCCTCTTGGCTCTTTCTTGCGCTTCTCTCTACCCGTCGAGTTTTATCTTTAAGGCCTTACCGGTATGATGCAGACCCTGGGCTCTCATGTTCTTCTCTAGGTCCCTGAAATCCCAGTCCAGAGCATTGAAACTCTCCTGGACTTTCTCTTTTTCTTTGGTCAACTGCTTTATTACCCCGTCCTTCTTATTCAGCTCGAGCTCCCACATTGTTTTTTCATCCGAGAAGCTTCTTTGTTCTTTCTCTCTCTCTAGGCTCATCAGCAGAATTTCCTCTCTCAACAACTCAGCCTTAGTCGGGAGCCTCCTCAGTTGCTCCTCCATGGTCAGCCCATCCTCTAAATTCGGCCTCGGGTGTTATCATTAACCCTCCCCGACCTCCAAACTTCGTAGGCTGGCGTAAATGCAGGCTCTATCATCTTGAATATCATAAAGTGGGGTTTCTGTCATGTTGTGTAGATCTTCAAGATCCACTCTCAGTAACCTAGGGTAGAGAAAGGAAACTCAGCCTCCTTCAGACCGTGGGTAGCTGGTATGAACTATCGAGTACTGAACTATCAGAGTGCTATCAGTGGAGTATAACCGACTGCTCCCCATAGTTCGTGCAACATCAAAAAGCTATTGTTGCCGCACCTATATAGTATGTCTTCTTTGGGCAACCAGTAAGCTTTCCATACTATCTCGGTATCTTTTATGTTCCGGAGGGCTTCAACCCAGTCTTTCCTCTTGCGATGCTCCGAGATTTGGAACTTGTCGAGGAAGTCCACTAGAGGAGAGAAATCTGACTGATTTATTTAAGGCCAACCTTTCTCGACTATCTAGGAGCGACCCCACCACCAAACTAGTAACAATGAGACACAACTAGTGAATTGACCTCCCCCGATCGTCTACACTGGTTTAGTGACAAGAACGTTTTCGCTATGATGGTTGGTGCGGGATTTGTCTTTCTGGATATGACTTCGACAAAATCGATTAAGGCGATATCAAAATGATCCTCTTTCCATGGGAAAACTACCAAGCCATATACCGCGAGCGCAAAGTGATCTCTCCTCCTCTTGGATTGCGTCTGCTCGTAAATCAAACTCTTCAGCTGAGCCCAAGAGATTCTCTCATCGTGAATGTACTCTTTGACCCATTCCTTGGTCTTTCCCGTCAATGTGATCATCTTGGTTGTGAACCCCTTAGGTCGGATTGCCTTGGTGTAAAGGGAATGTCTCCTAATATTTGGGATGTTCAGTGGAGTTGTATATTCTTCCAGGGTAGGGGTCATGTCCACCTTACCGAAAGTGAAGCAACGATAAGCCGGATTCCAACACTCAGCCAAGACTCGTACCACCACTGCATCTATCGATACCCTCAGCAACTCGACGATGTCACTGTATACCTCTCTGAATAGTATCTTTTCATTGTCATCCCATCTGGCCCAAATCCTTGATAACTCAGACCAATGCGCCTGCTTGACACTGATAATCACCTTCTCTAGAAAAACTGACTCTTTGGTAGTGGCAATATTGTCCCCAAACCACGTCTTCCCATACTCAGACCAGGTCTGAACATTTATCGCATTCTCATTCCCATCGAAAGACATTGATGCCTTAAACTCTTTTTACAGTAACTAGGTAATCTGGGAATCAATACATTCTATGCAATGATATGACATGAAAATGAAAATGATACATGAAATCAGGAAACAAAGCGACAAGTTAGTAACATTAGAATAATTCATTAAAATCAAAGAATAATTAGCAAAAAATTTAAAGAATTGGATGTAAAACAATCAAAGAAAATTAAAATCCTAATCGCATGCGCTCTAGTTCTTCTAGGTTATCCACATGGCTCTAGCAGGGTAGATTTACTAAATTATCTATATGTGGCGGGGTTCTAGCAAAAGTTCCCGAGCAATTTTTAAAACCTGCTAAGGTTGACCCCGATTCTAGCCCATTACAGACTTGCGAATCGGGTTTAGCTCAGGGGATCACACCACTAAAAGCGTACCTCGGATCTGATATCCGGATAGGCAACTTATGATGTTTTCCAGAGGTACTTTATCAGACCGAAATAAGGAAACCCAATGTTCCTCGTGAGGTGTGACGTTTCTCCCTACTTAGGTAAACCAGGTTAGAGCTCGGGTTCAGAGCTATGATATACAACAATCTTAAATAATTCCACAAAAGTGTAAGCATTAACCAAAGAGAAAATCTTTTTTTCTTTTGAAATAACATAATGAACTGTAAATTAAATAAGATCGAACTCATAATTTCCAAAATAGTAAATATAGGGTAACCAACTCGTGGCTCGACTCTCAATTTGTTTAAAAACAAAAGTCCTAGTGGAGTCGCCAAGATGTCGACACCGTTTTTCGCCCGGGCGGGGGAAAAGACCGATACTGACTCGGGGGTTTTCTCTTTGAAAAGGAATTTCAAAAAGTGAGGAGTTGCCACCAATCATTTAAGGTGTGATTGGGACACCATGAAAACCGGGTAATTTTAATAATATTTTTTTATCAAAATACTGAGTTTTGTGCTCTGCGAAAATCTAGAAATCGGGTTAGGGAGTCAGTTACGCGTGAGAAGGATTAGAACCCCACAAGCGCCCAAAAATTAGTACCAAGTAGGTTACCCTATATTTAAAATCAGAATTTTTGAGTTCGATACTTATTTAATTTAAAAATCATTACAGATGCAAAAAGTTGAAAAGGGTATTTGTTTATTAAGGCCGATAGCATTCTCCCCCAAGCATAAACGCGAGAGCTCAACTATTGTTCCTAATAACCGGACATTGCCTTAATTTTAAAAATCATGATGCGGTTTTGAAAAGGATGTCAACTTATTTCGGGAATCACCGGTAGTCACCCCCTGAGCATGATTGCGGGAGATATACTATTAAATCCCTAATAAGTGAACAGTGCCTTAGGGTTAAACATAAAATGCAATCAAACAAATTTTATTTATCCTAATTAAACTAAAAGTATATTAAGGCTTTTTCTAGCTTAAAGTGTAAAATTATGAAAGTTAAAGGACCTAAAGACTCAAACCTAGAAGTGTAGGTTCTAATATTAAACCTATTTAATTTTTAAACTGATATTGAATCGAATAACCGAGGTGGTCCCTTGAGCATTTACGCGAGGGCCGACTCGGATTATTCCCTAAATTAGGGGGACTATATTAAAATCTATCTAAATGTGGAGGCTCAATTTAACCTATTTAATTATGTCAAAATTAAATCATTACTCGAAGTTCGGGGACTAGAAAGGTCAAAGAACTAAAATATCGAGCTCTAAAAGATTTAAAAGTCTAAGGACCTAAATTGATAATTTATAAAGATAGGGGGCTAATTAAAACCCTAATCATTATCTAAATTATTAAACTTAAAGTTTTTTTAGGAAATATTAATTATTAATTAGTTTTAGAATCGAGCAATCTATTCGAGTAATCGAGCATGTTATGCGAAAACTCGACACAAATTGCTCCCTCATTAAACTAGAGTTTCGTCGTAATTGCTAAGCTTGATTCGAATGCTAAGATAATTTAAAACTAAATATAAGAAATAAAACTATAATATATCAAAACAATTAATAAACTTAATTAAAATAATTAAAACAACAAATAAAACAATAAAACAATAAAAACAATAAAAAAAACAACATAAAATATAAAAATAAAATAAGTAAAAGGACCTAATTGCATTAATTTTAAAGTACCCAAACTAAAATTAAACATGCAAAGGGGCTAAATTAAAATAAATTAAAACTTAAAGCTTGATTCGAAATAAAATAAAAACAAATAGACTAGTGACTAAAATACAAAACACGCGTAATCTACAAGGACCTAAGAGCAATTTTTCATTTTTATTAAGCCTAAAAAGTAGTTTGTTAAATAAAAAGGTAAAATTACATAATCGAACCTCCTATATTTTAAAAACAAATTAAAAAAGTCACTACGCATGACTAAAATGCAAAAAACGGCAAACTTAATGGGACCTAAATGAAATTAACCCTAAAAAAATAAAAAAAGCAAGCATAAAAGGATAAATAACAAAACAGTCCCTAAAGGACTAAAATGCAAAAATGCGCTAAAATAATAGGAATTAAACAGTGAATAAACCAAAAATTTTAAGCATGCATAGCAGAAAGGTAAAATATTAATTTTGGTCCCTACAAGGATAAAAATGCAAAAACATGGCAAAGTTACAAGGATTTAAAACATAAATAAACCATTAATTTAGCCTATAAATATCAAACTTGTCTTAGAATTCCTCATTTTCGGAAAAACCCAGAAAAAAATTATTTTGTTCTCCTCTTCCCCCGGCTGGCAATAGGTCGGACACCACGAGCCAGCTTCAGTCGTCGCACCGAACGCCGCACACGGCGGCTGGAAACATCAAAATAAACTCGAAATCACCCAAAGCTAGATCTAACCCCCTAAAGCTTATTTTAGGATATAAAACACCGAAATCGGCTCAAACTACCCGAAAACGACCTTAGACCGTTCGGCTACCCCGGATTCCGACGACCTCCTTTCGACCCTGGTATGGCTTATATATAGTATTTTTTTTTTGTATTCTTAATGTGAACATGCATTGGTTGTGGTTATTCGATTAAAGCTCCCATTTTTATTCGAAATCTATGAGTTATCCCTTTTTTTTAAACGAAACTAAATATTAGTTTGAGAACTAAGAAAAACATTTTTTTATCAACCGAAACTAAGAACAATAAAACACCAAAAACTATGTGAAATTAGAAAAAAAAGAAAAGGAAAAATAACCTTGAAATTTGTTGTTTATTTCTTTCGAAAGAAACCAGTTACAGAGTCTTTTTCGAATCCTTGTACAATGTTTAATGCATGGGTTTTATACCCATTTACAACTGAAAATGAAAATGATTATTCTCTTGTTCTTTTTCTCTTTTGTTTATGATGCAAGGTAGCGTGGAGCTCGGTGGCGTGCATGGGTGCCTTTTCGTGTTATTGGGGGAGAAATGGTGGACACGGGTTGGGGGGAATGGGGCGGCTACCCTAGGGCTAGGGTTAGACCGGGTCGGGTTCTGTTCTTTTGGGCTCCGGGTCGGGTTTTAGATTTAGGTTGGGTTTTAGGTTTGGTTGGGCTTGGACGGTGAAGGGTTTGGGCTTTAATTTGTAAAAGGGTTTTTGGGTTTAAATGTGGGTTTGGGGTTTGTAAAATGGTGCTCACACCTCGTCAAATATTTCATGCCCAAAGTCATGCCCACTAATCCAGCTTTGATTACGAAAATAGAAAAAAACTGCAGAATTCTGTCCTTTTAGTGCAATTTCCATAATTTAGCTTCATACACAGAAAATTAATCAAAACGAACAATTAAGCCACACAAAAAATAATTACTGAACAATTTAAAAGTAAAATAATAGCTAAATAAAGCACTTATCAAGGTCATTCAAAAATGAACCGAATTCAAATAATTAGTGATTCATATTTTAGGGATGTCATTTACTATATCGAAATTAAAAAAATTAATAATTATTTTAAGGTCATGGATGATAATTTTTACAAATAACAAATTATACCAAATAAATAATGGTAAAAACAATAATTTAAGTAGGAAGGGAGACTGCCTGCATCGATGCTAATAAAATAAGAAGAGCAAGAGAAGCATGAAAATCACATGCAAATGTATACAAATTAATAATTAAAATATATGATCTGTAACAATAATAATTAATAATTAATGTTTCTTAAATAAAATTCAATAATTAATAATTACTTGATTTCTTCACTAAAGATTGTGTCCAACTCCCAAGAAATTTCCTTTCAGTATGATTATTTCATATGAAAAAAAAATCACAAACAAGTAGAATTCACGTGGTCTTCTTAGTCTCAAGTCTAATAAGGGAACCTCAATTTCTTGGGGATTCCACGATGATGGTGCTCCTCCGACAAACAATCTACCTCTACAATCCTGAGATAGCAAACGATTTAAAGAGTGAGCCACAACAGCCCAGAAATGTACAATTATCCTGTGAGATTTATATATTATAAGTTAAGTAATGTAAATGAGAAGTGCATATATTGTAATCTTCCAAAGTTCATACATATAAATATACATTTTTCCAACAGTCGATATATCATTTAGTCCAAGGAATTAGCATTATCGTTATTATTACGATCGCATAATTATAAACATTGTAAATACCCAATGTCAGGCACTTGGATCACTTCAGGGCTCCCGTACGAGTTTCTGGCAGAAAATACGATAATATGCTCCCTTGTGAGTCACTCTAATCCTTCGGAGCTCCAGTGCTAGTCAACCGAAATAATTACGATTAGGTGCTCCCGTGCAAGTCACTCTAATCCTTCGGAGCTCTCATGCAAGTTACCCGAAATAATTACGATTAGGTGCTCCTGTGTGAGTCACTCTATTCCTTCGGGGCTTTCATGCGAGTCACCTAGAATAATCACGATTAGGTGCTCCCTTGCGAGTCACTTTAATCCTTCAAGGCTCATGTGCGAGTCACCCGAAATACTCATTATTACATATTTTTGCATACCAAGTGAGTCGTAGCTCTTTATCATTCACCTAGCTCTCATTCACGCTTCCATACATATTTTATCTTATTA